CTTTCTCTCTCTTGTTTCCTTAGCTTCTAAGGTTTTTCCATTGTTATCATAGGTCAGGTTTTGGGACCCTAGGGGAAAGGTCTTCTTCTTCAGCGAGCTTTAATCCTTCGATTGACACTGATTCCAGACTTTAGGAGGTGGAGATGGAGCTAGCACATCAAAAGGAAGAAGGTGAGTGCCTATAAGAAGAAGTAGCGCGCTTGGCACAAGCTGCTGCGCATAACCAAGAATTAATGTGCTTGCAATTCACTGCAGTAGCCTAATCTTTGTTAGCATGTGGGATCAGGATGCTTGAGTCCCTGACCGACCTCCAGGACTTATTCCCCCAGCCACCCCAGCACCCACCCGCGTATTTTACGTATTTGAAAACAATATAACATGGTTCTTGAGGATTTAGGTTACTACAATTTTTTTTTCTTTCCTAAAAGGTAGACTTTATTACATTCTAATGAAAAAGTTTATATCTTCAGCTAAAATATTAAAAGAAATTTAGGCCCAATACAATCTTAGTTATAAGAACTACCATGTTTTTTAATATTCTTCGTTGCGGAATGTGCTACTCGATTGCCTTCACGCTTAATTCTTATTGATGACACTTTACATAGTTTACAAATATGTAACAAAATAAAAAAAGTCTACCTAGTATTTTCCTTATCGAAATAGTGGTAATTTGCTAAGTTTTCCAACTTTGCACAAACTGCATGCTCAGTTTAAATTTTGTATAATACTTGTAAGAGAAATGCTTTGTGGCACATAATGTTGTATGGTCAAGCATTAACACGTGACATTCTATAAATGCTTCGATTAAGGTGATATTTGAGTTAAAGTATGAGTGACTATAATTGAGATAAGATGGGAAAAATCGGTTAAGTTGGTTTGAACATGTAAAACGAAGCCCTATAGATGCTCAAGTTAAAAATACGATTATGAGACAGAAGATTAGGGCAAAAGTGGTAAAGGAAGACATAGGAAGATTTGAAAAGAGAATTTTAAAAAAGGCATTGAGTCTTGGAGTAAACAGAAAACTTGACAGAAAATTGAGCGCAATGTTGTTCTAAAATGCATACAACCGGCTGATTTTACTTAATTTGACAAGATTTTGTTGTTGTTCTTGTAAGAGAAAAAGTTCCAACTGATTAACCGACCTATTTCTTCTCCACCGCTTCAGAAACTTATATTTTCAAAATGTTTCAAATTGTTACATCACGACAAAGCAAACTCACCGATTTCTTCTTCACCGCTTCAACAACTTCGTTTTAAAAAGTTCCTAATTGCACCACAAAGCAAACTCGCTCTCTCTCTCTCTCTCTAAACCAATATAGGAAGTAAGCAAATATAAGAGTATTGTTTCTTATTTCTCGAATGGGAAACAGAAACAGTGAGGAAGATGGTCTTACTCCATCCCTACTACCAGAGCGGCAGAGCCATTACCCCAAAACAGTGCCGCCAATGACAAAGATCAGAAAACAGACCTTTCACTCAGGGTCTGGTTAGAGACTAAGAAGCTATGGCAAACAGTGGGTCTCACAATCTTCAGCAGGGTGGCTACTTTCTCCATGAACGTCATTACCCAAGCCTTACTGGACACCTTGGCGAGGTTGAACTAACTTCGGTTTCCATTGAAGTCACTGTGGTCATTGGCTTCAATTTCGGCCTCTAGCTACGTAATAATTAATGTACTACTACTAATTAACCGCTCTTTCTTTCACTGAAACTTCTCCCGGTATGTTATATTGTCAAATTATTAATTTTAACAGCATTTTACTTCAACATATGAATGTTAGATATCTTGCTGGAGCACATTAGTTGACTTTTAGGGCTCGTTAATCTGGAGCGTATGATTAAATTGGAATGGTAACTCTATAATCTCATGTTGAGGGGAGAAATTAAAAAGTTATGACCAACTTGAGAGGGTAGAAGATGGTTTAGGAAATTTATGTATTTCAATTCTCTCCAGAATGGTAGGATTAGAAGGTAAAGCTTTCTTCATGTCTAATCCTCATATAATATCCTTTAAATAAAAAATCATTCACCTTCCCCTTCGATTTGCCTTGAAATTGGAGAGTTACCAATTCCTATCCAATCATACTTACCAAACGAGACCTAATTGTCTTATAATTAATTTTCTTATAATTGGCCATATGATCAGTTGGGAATGGCAAGTGCACTGGAAACACTTTGTGGGCAGGCATTTGGAGCAAAAAGGTACCATGTGCTTGGAGTACACTTGCAAAGGTCATGGATGGTGTTATTTCTCTGCTGTATTGCACTTTTGCCGGTTTACATATTCGTCACTCCGATTCTGAAACTGTAGGGACAGAGCGATGATGTGGCGGCGCTGTCAGGAGTGGTGTCTCCGTGGCTCATACCCTTTCACTTCAGCTTTGCGTTTTACTTCCCGTTGACGAGGTTCTTGCAAAGCCAGCTTCAGAATATTGTTATTGCTTGGGTCAGTTTAGTGGCTTTATTGATCAATATATTCACGAGTTGGCTTTTCGTCTACCTGTTGGATTTTGGTGTTTTTGGTGCTGTTATTGCTTTGGATATTTTTTGGTGGGTTTTGGCTTTGGGGCTCTATATGTGTGCTACTTGTGGTTGGTGTTCACAGACTTGGACTGGTTTCTCTACGCAACCCTTTTCTGGGCTCTGGGAATTTATCAAACTTTCGGTTGCTTCTGGCGTTATGCTTTGTTACATGTTTAATTCGTCCCGACATGCATATGATTTTCGGTTTTTTAATTTGATTTTTGCGTTTTATGTTGATTTTCTATAGGTTGATTGTGTTAACAATGATTTATGCAGTTTGGAGTACTGGTATTACAGGATACTGATATTGATAACTGGTTATTTGAAAAATGCCACCATTGTCTAGTATGCGATTCCATGTTTTGTTAAATTCCATTTCTCCTTAATTTGTACATATCAAAGTTAACTAATACTTAGACTTACTTCATTAACTTTCTGGTTGTAATTCCAATTTGGAACTTAACCCTAATAACTTTAATTAAAAAATTTGATAAAGATATCCACATGTTTAGTAGGTGACCTCGTTTTAAAGATAGTATTGTGAAAGTAGCTGGAAAGTACGATTATCTAAATTGTTGTTGAGAATTTCAGAAATCGAGGAAATTAGATTGGGAAGTGTTAAACCATGAGCTTTTCTACCCAGGGTGGTTATTTGGCATCGCTAAGCACCTAAAAAAGAATTGGAATTTATTAGGAGCCTGTAGCGCAAGTGGTTAATAGTGTTTACTGTTGCGCTTAAGGTTATGTAGAGAAAATAAAATTTTAGACCATTCCCAAAACACAGTTTAAAGACCAAAGTTGAAAACCTACAAAACTTTAGGGTGAAAAATTAACCATATGTAAACTTAAATTGTTCATGTGGTCCAATCATAGTGAATAGGTTGTTGGCTTAAATTCTACCCTTGCGTCCCATGTTCAAATGTTTCCCTCCTCTAAATTAATGTAACAGTTTGGAATCCTCCGCCTCCCTTTAATAATAATATAAAAGAAAAACTATTTTAGCTAATCATGTTTATGATTGGGTCTAAATTCTGCAGCATGACTATTAATGGGTGGGAGATCATGATTCCTCTAGCCTTCTTGGCTGGAACGGGGTATCATTTCTAATCTCTTTCCAAATTAATCTCACTTCTATAATGGCACTAAAAATATAGAGGCAATAAGTAATGAAATCACAGTTGTTTGTACGTAGTAGAGAAATTTGACACAGTAAAAACACTAGCAGTCCTCTGAAAATTTATATTATGAATTGGAAGAGTAAGAGTTGCAAATGAACTAGGAGCTGGAAACTGGAAGGCAGCAAAGTTTGCAACGAAGGTTTCTGTAATTGAATCGACCATGGTTGGTGTCTTATTTTGTGTATTATTAATCGCACTCCACGACAAGATCGCATACATATTCACCACCAGCAGTGATGTCGTTGAAGCAGTTAATTACATGTCTTACCTCTTGGCCGTTACAATTCTACTTAATAGCATTCAACCAGTTTTATCAGGTTTGTTCTACGACCAATTTTGGACCATTTAATTTACCACCTTAACCATAAAAGTGAGCGTCATCCAAGGGAGGATTCGGTAGCATCTAGCCCTGTTAGATTGCCTACGTACTTTATTCCAATGCACATGGATCAAACCGCTGTAGTTCTTAGTAGCCTCCTAACCACTATAGTTCTTAGTCGCCTCCTAATCCTAGGACTAAGGTGATACCCTAGAGGCTAAACTAAGAGAGAAAAAGATTACTGAGAGTGGAGAGCATTATATCTCCTCTCTAGAGCTAAGAGAATTGTTTTTGTTGGTATATTCTCTCCTCTCCTGAAGCCCTCGTTATATAGTGGCTAGGAGGGAAGAGAGAAAGGGAAATGGTCAATATGGGACAAATACCACATATTGATAACACACCCTAAATTGGGTGTATAAATCCTACATCTCCTACTCACTATATGTGAGAACTATTGTAAGCTAAATGAATACTCAAAGTCGTTACTTTGCTCATTCAATTACTTTAGGGTTTTACGGACTAATTGTTGGCTGTAAACTTTCAACAAATGTCTCCCACTAGGTTGGAAGAGGTCAATTGTGCCTACACCACCTTAAATGGCGTGTGACATTACCCAAAATTTCCGAAAATTCCTTTCCAAGTGATTGGAATCCTACTCACAATTTCATGGTTTTCCAAGAAGAGTATAATAGACTATGTTCTTTTGATGTACATATAAAGTTGTTAAACCAAGGCTTTACGACAATGTACAATTAGGGGCCGTTTGTTTGACAGGACTAGGGAGGACTGGACTGGACTAGACTATAGTCCCTTGTTTGGTTTGTAGCAGGATTAGTTTTAATGACCTTAGGTCGGACTTGCTCGGATTATTCATCTCCTTACGCGTTCTTAACGAGGAACCCCAGTTTCGGGAGGACTCGTAAGCCCTGAGAGAAAGCCGCGAGAGAGTCACTCATCCAAGAACCTACGTCGCTCGTCTCATCGCTGCGTCTTCCCTCATCGTCGTCCTTGCCCTGCTCCCTCATCGTCATCTTCCTCATTCTGATCTCTGCGCCTTCCCTCATCTGCATCTGCTCGCCCTCATCTGCTCCGACTTGTCTGGTAAACTTCGCATCTTCGCTTTATTTCGTCAATTTGTTTTGCAGATCGTGGTATTACTGAGCTTCATTTGATTTTGTTGTTTTGGGTTTGAGAAATTTTCAATGATAGACCTCTGCACTTGAACAAATTAGGGTTTTGATTTTTAGGTCAAATTAAGATTAGAATTTGGGGTTTTCATATTTCAACTTTTCTTTCAAATCCTCAGGTAGTAAAAACCGCCATCACAAAATTTGCTCAGTGATGAAATCTAAGCCCTGAAATTTTGTTTCTTTTCGCGTTTTCTGAATTGGGTTTTTTGATTTTTCGGGTTTTGATGCTTTGCTTGTTTGGATTTTGTGAAGCAATTTCGTGTCTGGGTTTCACAAGAGGAAGAAGAAGAGGAGAAGGGAAGCTGAGCAGAAGCAAGGAGAGGCATTGCGGCGGAAACGTCTCAAGCTGTGCAAAAAGGTTGGATTTTGTGGCTGTTTTTTGGCCGTTTGATTGCCTATTTTGCATAATGTATAGCTTGTTTACCACTCATTGGATTTTGATAGTTGGTTGATTTGGTTTTTAATCTCATTGTTGCGAAAAGTTGGTGTCTTTGCAAGAGGAATTACATTGAATTATGTTACTACTCTTTGGATTCTGTGAGTGATTTTTATATATACCCCGATTTTGTATATATAAATTGGTACAAGTTATTAGGTTCTTCAAATATTGGCTGCCTTTCAATGTTTAGAACTAACCCAACTTAAATAATGAATAATTTCTCTTTAGTTCTTGAGTGCCCTGCCTTTCTTTCATCTGGATCGTAGAACAGAATATTAGGATATGGCCTTCTCAGAATCTAGAATATGTTTCTAGCACAGTGGATGTTTTCAGGATTTTGTTTTACCTCCACCATGTGCCATCAACAAGTTTATTAGTATAAACGTGTAGGATATGTAATCTATGTTCTGTTATCTGCCACTTTAAATCTTACTTCATTTTGTTTGTATTCGGTTTTAATTATTATGCGTTCAATTGTTCCAGGGGAATTCTATATCGACTACAAAGTACAACTTCATTACATTTTTGCCGAAAGGACTCTTTGAACAGGTAATTCATGGGCCTTCAATGAATTTGATTTTAGTTTTCAATCAATCTGCTTGCTGATGCAGTTCGAAGCTTATCTGATTTTTTGTGATGAAGTGTAGTTATATCATTTTGCTATGCGTTATGCATAAACAAATTGACTAGAGTGTATGTATGCAGTGTGTATGTATGCAGTGTGTGTGTGTAGTGTAGTTATATCATTTTATTTTGTCATGGTCCTGAGAAGTTGTTACACTGCCAGTGTGTATGTATGCAGTGTGTGTGTGTAGTGTATGTAGTGTGTGTGTGTAGTGTATGTAGTGTGTGTATGTATGTACTGTGTTTGCAGTGTGTATGTATGCAGTGTGTGTGTGTAGTGTGTTTGCAGTGTGTGTGTGCAGGGTGTATGCAGTGTGTGTGTACTTGCAGGGTGTGTGTGTAGTGTATGTTTGCAGTGTGTATGTATGCAGTGTGTGTGTGTAGTGTGTTTGCAGTGTGTGTGTGCAGGGTGTATGCAGTGTGTATGTATGCAGTGTGTGTGTGTAGTGTATGTAGTGTGTGTATATGTGTAGTGTTTGCAGTGTGTATGTATGCAGTGTGTGTGTGTAGTGTGTTTGCAGTGTGTGTGTGCAGGGTGTATGCAGTGTGTGTGTACTTGCAGGGTGTGTGTGTAGTGTATGTTTGCAGTGTGTATGTATGCAGTGTGTGTGTGTAGTGTGTTTGCAGTGTGTGTGTACAGGGTGTATGCAGTGTGTATGTATGCAGCGTGTGTGTGTAGTGTATGTAATGTGTGTATATGTGTAGTGTTTGCAGTGTGTATGTATGCAGTGTGTGTGTGTAGTGTATGTAGTGTGTGTATATGTGTAGTGTTTGCAGTGTGTATGTATGCAGTGTGTGTGTGTAGTGTGTGTGTGCAGGGTGTATGCAGTGTGTGTGTGTAGTGTATGTTTGCAGTGTGTATGTATGCAGTGTGTGTGTGTAGTGTGTTTGCAGTGTGTGTGTGCAGGGTGTATGCAGTGTGTATGTATGCAGTGTGTGTGTGTAGTGTATGTAGTGTGTGTAGTGTATGTAGTGTGTGTATATGTGTAGTGTTTGCAGTGTGTATGTATGCAGTGTGTGTGTGTAGTGTGTTTGCAGTGTGTATGTATGCAGGGTGTATGCAGTGTGTGTGTACTTGCAGGGTGTGTGTGTAGTGTATGCAGTGTGTGTGTGTAGTGTATGTAGTGTGTGTATGCACTGTATGCAGTGTGTGTATGTATGTATGCAGTGTGTGTATGTATGTATGCAGTGTGTGTGTGTACTTGGTTTATAACCATGATATTACAATGTGAATGTTTTGTATTGTGTGGGGTTGATGCTGAATTGCAATTTTTTGTGGTTGTTGGTTGCAAAGAAGAGGAGCATAAACGGAAGGCTATGGCTAAGGCTACTGCATTACAGGTGTCCTTTAATTTCCCTTTTCACATGCAATGCCTAGCAATGATAGCAATCCTCATACTAGTGTTCTTAGACACATGTTTATAGATGTATAAGAGTAGAACATTTTGAATATGATGCCTCGGGTTAATGAAAACTTTTTTTTTTCAACGCCACCTGTATATTTGTTGCCTCGGGTTAATGAAAACTTTTTTTTTTTTCAACGCCACCTGTATATTTGTTGCCTCGGGTTAATGAAAACTTTTTTTTTTTCAACGCCACCTGTATATTTGTTGCCTCGGGTTAATGAAAACTTTTTTTTTTTCAACGCCACCTGTATATTTGTTGCCTCGGGTTAAATGAAAACTTTTTTTTTTTCAACGCCACCTGTATATTTGTTGCCTCGGGTTAATGAAAACTTTTTTTTTTTCAACGCCACCTGTATATTTGTTGCCTCGGGTTAATGAAAACTTTTTTTTTTTTTCAACGCCACCTGTATATTTGTTGCCTCGGGTTTAATGATCTAGTTAATTTGTTTTTTTGTTTTTTGTTTTGTTTGGATAGATATGGATCGAAGGAAGCTTTTTATTGATCTTATTGTTAGAGATGTCTTATTTGGAGACAATTTGTATTTGTACGATTCTTGTGGTGATGATGCTACGTGGCAAACAGAGACATGTTGAACGACCCACATTGACTAACCGTTCACTTATTAGACGAGAGATTAGTTTGTGTTATCTGAATGGTATAATAGGGAATACTGATACTGAATGTGTCAATGAATTGAGAATGGATAGAAGGACTTTTGGCATATTATGCGACTTACTTCGTCAAGATGGGAGGGTAAAAACTGATGGTTTGGTGTCTGTAGAGGAACAGGTGTGTATGACTTTACAAATATTAGCACATCATACTAAGAATCGTAGTGTTGACGGTAGATTTTATAGGTCGGGAGAGACTATAAGTAGGTATTTCAATAGCGTATTGCAAGGAATTTTGCGATTACAAGGTATCCTACTAAAAGTCCCCCAGCCTGTGCCTATTGATTCTACAGATCCTAGGTGGCGATGTTTTAAGGTATGATGAGAATTTTTTTTCATTTTCCCTAAGCTTTAACTCTTCATTCCCTTTGTATAAATTAACAAAAACTTTTTTATTTTTTATTTTTAAGAATTGCTTGGGAGCATTGGATGGAACACACATTGATGTGCATGTACCTGAAATTGACAAACCAAGATACCGAACAAGAAAGGGTCGAGTCGCAACTAATGTGTTAGGTGTGTGTTCAGGAGATATGCAGTTCATATATGTGTTTCCGGGGTGGGAGGGTTCCGCATCAGACTCTAGAGTGCTACATGATGCAATTAGTAGGCCTAATGGTTTTAAGGTACCAGCGGGTAAGACTATTACTTAGTCTCAACTTTGTAAGTTAGGTTTAGTTCTGTTTGTCAACTACAAAACACTAATAAGGTCTATTTTTTTTCTTTCATTAGGTTGTTATTACCTTGTAGATGGTGGTTATACAAATGGTGAAGGATTCCTTGCACCCTATAGAGGAATACCTTATCATTTATCTGAATGGGAGGGACGAACACCTTCTAATAAGGAAGAATATTTTAACATGAAGCATTCTAAGGCAAGGAATGTAATTGAACGCTGTTTTGGCCTGCTAAAAGGAAGGTGGTCGATACTAAGGAGTCCATCTTTCTATCCGATAAGGACACAAGGTCGAATAATTATCGTTTGTTGCCTACTACACAATCTTATTAGGCAAGAGATGTCTGTAGATCCAATGGAGAATTTGCCAATAATAGAAGATGGACAAAATACAGAAGAAGGTGAATATGTTGGTAGTGTTCAAACATCGGACCAGTGGACTGCAATGAGGAATGATATGGCTCAGGAAATGTATAATGAGTGGAGAGCAATTAGGAACCAGCAACCGAACTAGCTATATGTGTTAATGATAACATTTTATTTTAGTATTCCTTTTTTATCATGCATTTGTTAGATATTAGCACAATGATTGGATGGTATGCAAATTAATTGGATGTTATGCAAGTTGATTGGATATTATGCAAGTTGATTGGATATTATGCAAATTGATTATTTGTATGGTATTTTCCTTCATTAAAATATTTTTTGTTTTAGGTATGGATAACGAAAATTTTTTGAATGCTACTCAAAAGCCAAAAGGAAGAAGGCGTAAATGGGAAGCATTTGAGGAAGAAAGTATTACTAGGAGTTCTTGAGGATTTTGTTGCTCGGAAGCAACGGTGTGACACCGGTGCTTTCAAACAAGGTACTTTGGTTGAAATAGCAAAAGCTGTCAATGTTTTATGTCCTCATTCAAATATAAAGGCAAATCCACATATTGAATCCAAGTTGAAGAAATGGAAAAAAACATATAGTATGGTCGTTGACATGATAAACACAAGTGGATTTGCATGGAATGATGTCAAAAAGTGCGTTGAAGTTGACAGTGATGACGCATGGCAAACTTATGTGCAGGTTCATATCCTATTTTATTTATGCATTAGTTATATTCTTGCTGCTATATTTGTTACGCATGCTAAATTTTAGTTTTGCTATGTTGATATAATCTTAGAGAAATAAAGAAGCCGATGGATGGAGAAGCAAACCTTTTCCACTGTTTGATAGATTTGCATATATATTTGGAAAAGATCGGGCTACGGGTAATGTAGCCGAAACCCCTGCTCAAATGATGGAGGAACAAAGTCATGATCATGTTGGTGAAAGTGATATTGGAGGTGAAAATTTTGTTTCTTCAATGAATCAACAAAGCCAACAAAGCACCCCATCTGAAAATAGCCAAAGAAAGAGGAAAAAGAGCTGTGGGAAGTTCAAATGATGGAACCGAGGCAATTATCAGTGGACTGAAAGATTTTTATGTTGAAAGTGGGAAGATGATGCAAATGGTAACTGAAGCTTTAGTTCAAGGTACTGCAGATCATACTGACATAGCTAATGAACTTGAAGCAATGGGTCTCTCTCCTATGGATCAAAATTGATGCATTGTCTCTTATTTTGGATAAACCAAAAAAATGTGGGAGTGTTCAGGGCAATCAAACCGGAACTCAAGAAAGTGTTCGTCCAAAGGCTTTTAAGCGACAACGCAAGCGGATGAGGATTTTAGCTAATGTTAACATGGATGTATTTTAATAACGTTAACATGGATGTATTTTATTAATCATACAATCTTATGTTATGACTTATAACTTAGCTTTGCACTAGTATTTTGGCTTATGTTAACTAGCCATTTTGTAAATTATGGAGATCTATTTTGGCTAATGTTAACTAATGTTAACTAGGATTTTCTAAATTATGGAGATCTTATGTACTTGTATTTGTTGAAGTTGCATGTATTGGGCACTATTATTTTTCTTCTGTTGGGTGATAGAGTTTAAATCAAGCTACATTTGCAAATTAAAACCCAATTCTATTAGCAGGTAATAGAAACAAAACAATTGTCAATTTTTTTTAAGATTCATAATATACATGGCAAAAATATGCTCCAATTAACCCATATCATGAGATTTGTAGCATTCTATTACACAATGGCAAAAATTTGTAGTCCTAGTCTAAGCAAACACAA